ACCTGTGAAAGTGCCTCATACTGATGGTAATGAAGCAGATAGCTGAGTGGAATTGAGAACATATCTGACTCACTATAATGGGATTTTCAGTTAGATCAAATTACACTTGGAATTCATCACCCTGAGCCAGGGCACATGGTGATTAGCAGAAAGGGTCACAGAAGAAATTTATTTTTTCTTTCCAGAGCCAGAAAAAGTCATGATTAAAGAATGTGATTATAGCAAATATTATTATGTCTGCACATGAGGTAGTTTCTTATCATTTGTGAATCCAGGCCCTGCCTCAAATGTTCTGTGGCTACAGACTTGTTTAACAGTCTTCAATCTGTTACTCCTTCACTTTGAAAGAAGACAACTGTTTACAAAACTTGCCATAGAACAGGCAAACAGCACTGTGTTTATGGTTTTGTTGACAGTTTAGGATGTAGCTTATTAGTCAAAAAGTAAGAATATGATGCTGCAGAAACTCATCCTGGGAGCAGTCTGGCTTGCCAGACTTTACCTTGGCATTCATGGGATTTGGATTCTTAAGTGACTCTGACATTCTGATACTTCCTGAATAATAAAATGTCAGCAAATGCCTTCATTTTGAAGTGTTGGACTTTCCCTTTTTCAAAATGAAAGGTTCAATCAGACGAACATGTAAGAGCATTTGTTTACTGCATCCTTTGATTTATTATTCCTGTGCCTTACAGGAACCTGCAAAGGGGCATTACTGTGCTTTAGATGCAGCACTAAGTAGACTCAATAGGTTTAGAAAAATAAAAGAGAGAAAGCACATAAAGTTGGGAGGGAAAAGTAGGGGGCATAGGGAAGAAATTGGTGAGGAGGGAATGGGGAAAAGATTTGATCAAAGCACATTATATGCATGTATGGAATTCTCAATAAAAACATAAAATATACAGAAGAATTGCAGAGATCCTTCAAGTTCCCTGTTCCTGCAGATCTGTGGTGAAGGTCTGTCCCAGGCATCAAGTGTGTCCTCTTTCCCCATTCCTTCCACTTGCTCTGCAGAGGGCATTAGATACCTTACTGCACATTCCAACCAAGCTGTGAGTAGATACCCCCTCCTGTACACTAGAATCCGTGGCATACGTGCTCTTTTGAAAAGTCCGTAGTAGTGAATTTTTCACTTATATTTACAATTTTTTCCTCTGTCATCTGTATTTTTCTGTATTTTGTAGATCACTTTTGCAATTGCAAGGTGTTGAAGTTCAGTAAAAATACTATCAAGATTAGTTGTGAACCCTTGTATCATTGCAATTCATATGAGAAGAGAGGGCCTGTCATTTGTGTAACAGGGCATTTAAACAAAATTTAAAAATCTATGAAACACGATCCACACAAAAATCAGACCATAAAGATCTTGGTTCACAGTTCTTGCATTTTTAATGAATTTTTAAAATTAAATATAACATCAGTGATGAACACTAATTTCACACTAGTTGTATGATTGTTTCCTTTCTTATTATGTTTTACAGATCTGGATAATGTAGAAGGCATCGCTGTGGACTGGATTGGAAATAACCTTTACTGGACAAATGATGGTCATAGGAAAACCATCAATGTGGCCAGGCTAGAAAAGGCTTCTCAGAGTCGGAAAACACTGCTAGAGGGAGAAATGTCCCATCCCAGAGGAATTGTGGTAGACCCAGTCAATGGGTATGTAACACTCTCTGCTATTTTCTGTTTTTTTTTTTTTAACTTATGTAATAATAACAAGTTTTATTTGTATTCATACATGTAGGTGAATTCACACAGGAGTGTTTGGATTGGAAGAAATTGCTCATTCAATGATTACTTCTTCTAGAAAATATATTAAGTAAAAGTGGAAAAATAATTTTGCAGAAAATAATTGTTTGACCAGATGATATATTACTTAGATTTTTCCAGTCAATTCAATCAGAAAATCTCTCAATTAAAATTTTTAGCTACTGACATTTAATTTAATTAAATAAAATTTTTGTATATTTACTATAAACTGGACTTTTAATTTTTTTAAATATTATTTTTATTTTACGTGCATGGATGTATTGCCTGCATGTATTTTAGTGCACCCGTGTTGTACAATGTCTGTGGAGGCCAGAAGAGGTCACTGGAACTGGAGTTATGGATGGTTGTTAGATTGCATGTGGATGCTGGGAATTGAACCCAGGTCCTCTGCAGAAGCAGCCAGTGCTCTTAACTACTGAACCATCTCTCTAGCCCCTGAACTAGGCATTTTCAGTAAATTATTATGCTCCTCTCTGTAAGAGTTAAGGAGAAATCTTTGACTCACTCTAGCTCACCGTATTTTGTGAGTCTATAGTGATTTTTTAGCAGGACCATGGTTTCCATGTGGGAGCATCATCTTGTAGCTTCATTCCACTTGGTTAGGATGAAATATTTTGTGGAATCCTTTGATTTTTCATACAGATCTATTATTTGAATACAAAACCACACTTAGAGAACATCACAGATGTAAAAACTTCTAACAGATATTCAAAATCAAATTACTAGACTGTATATTCTATATTTATAGTTCAGTTTGTGTTTCCTTTCAGGCTTACATTAATGTTTTGGAAAATAGAATCACGAAATGGGTGTTTTCTAGATCTAGTGCATATATTCTAATATATTAATTGAAAAAGAGGTACAGGTGTCTCTTATAAACTGAGGTCACTGAAATGCACTTTCTAGAATGTATGAATTGAGCTCCAAACACAAGTAGGGTACATTTTCCTAGGCAGATAATATCATTGCATGTGGTTTCAAGAGGCATAATTATAATAAAGTAATTTTTGTGCTTTTATGTTTGGATTCCATAATTATATCTTCTACTCTTGAACTTTCAAATCTTAATAAATCACAATCTTAATAAATAAATATTAAATAAAAAACTCTGGCTGAAGATGGAGAGGGAAGGGAGTGCCAGGCCATAAGGAGCTTTGTGTTTTATCTTAAGTGCAAGATAAAGATGGGTTGTGGCAGACTCCATCTCATTTTACACAGGCTGACCTTTTTATCTGGAGAAAGTAGCTTCGAAGGCACTGGAAGTAGCTATCGAATTTGGTGACATTAATTGTTTGAGTAGTTACTGAAAACAGCTCCAATAATAAGGAGGATGTTTTAGCTCAGAAACGTTCATTCCAAACAGTGCACTGTATCTTTCAGCAAATTATTAACAGGTTTAAAACTTTGTTTATGTTATCTTTCTTTGACTCGCAATAATGCCTACTTCCAGCTGTACAGCGTAGAAGCCCATCGCATTTAAGAGGTATATTTGTCAAAAGTATCATAACCAATTAAAAATCAATGAAATATTTATTGCTTATTTCTTTAGCTAAATATCTAAACAACCATCATACACATCAATAGAAATCAGTGAGATTGTAAGTGTCTTCAAGGAGCTTACAATCTTGTGTGAATCTCTCTCTTTCTCTCTCTCTCTCTCTCTCTCTCTCTCTCTCTCTCTCTCTCTCTCTCTCATTTTTAAAGAAACTTGTGCACCCAGGCA